ATTTTCGAGGTCCATGAGTGAGGAGTACAAACGCCGTCTCATGGACCACTTTGGAGAGACTGAGTTGAATTCCACCATGATCTTGTTTTCGCTTGCACTGGAAGCCAAGATGCAAGCATCCGTCCCCACCTTGGACCTGGAATAGTTTAAATGGCACCCGACTTACCAGTTCCTCAAACATTTTGAGCATTTCCTTCCAACACCATATTCACCTGAGGCATTTCAAGGGACTCACATTATTAGATTCTCTTCTCCTAAGTCAGCTCTTAGGAAGTCAGTTTTGGTAACTTCTGTGTGCCTTGAACAAGAAACATTTCATCCAGATTTGCTAATTTCTTTCCTCGTGGACTTCCACAATCTACGTCGAATTTGGAAACCCAAAGATGGGATAAATGTGCCTCCTGTGTCCACAGCTGTACTCCCGCAACAAACTAAATGTTTCTACATGCCGTGTCGGCTCTCAGGAGCACCCCAGTCCTGGAGGAGACACTCTTGGGACACCCATGCCTTCATACTGGCCCTGGACTAGCCCTGGGACCTGCCACAACTCTTTCTCCTTGGAGGGACAGCACAGCCTTCCCCACCTTCCTCTGGCAAGTCTCTTTCCTGGGTGGCTGTGCCGCATCAGGAAGGGCCTGGGCTGCCGGGGACCCGGATTGATCCTTAGCTTCCAGCTGTGCTGAGATGGCCTCCCTGGCAGAGCCCAGCCTGCCATGTGTCTGAGTGACACTTGCAGCCACCAGGAAGGAGAGGATGAGTCAGAAGTGCCAAGCGATTCACCCAGCCCTTGTGTTTCAGGCTGTTTCCAAGGGACGAGATTGCAAAGGCTGGGTGGTCAGGCTTTCCCTCCTAGTTCTGGAGCTGGTGCTCTGGTTGAGCTCAGAGCAGTGTCTGTTTAGCACCCAGATGGGAAGCATTTCAACATTTCCCTCGGTAAGGCTGTGTCCACGCACATCCACAGATCATCAGGTTGCTCTCATTCCCTGCAGGACCCCTGACTCACACCCTTCTTAGGCCTCCTCTTTCACACCCCTCACAGGAAAGGCACACATCCCCATGACAGAACCACAGCACAAGACTGTGGAAAGAACACAGCCAGCCGAGGGGCTACGTGCTTGCTGGGCTCAGGCACAGCAATGACTTTGGAAAAAGTCACTAAAAATACTCCAGATTGTGTAAATTTGGGACTGTCTGACACCACGGGCCTGAGAAGCACATAGGCCCAGAAGTCACCCTCGGCAGTAGGGATACTGTGGGGTCATTCCTGGTCAGGATGATCATCTATCCTCCTGGGAAAGCAGAGCTCACCTGGGATCCATCAGGCCCAGTCTGGGAGGAGTGGCCATGATGGACCTGGCAGAAAGGCTAGGAGCATCTAGGGAATTTCTGCCCTAAGATACAATTGTATGCAGGAGTGCAGAGACACTGAAAATCCTAGCTCACAAGGAGCACTGGATTTATGGAGGGAGACCTGGCTGAGGCCCTAAAAGCTGCATCCCACAGCTTTCCCCTTAGATAGACAACAAGCAGGAAATGGTAGTCAGGGTTAGGGACCAGAAGCCCAGGAAGATCCAGCCTAGGTCAACGGTGAACAGAGAGCCCCTCAGTGGGCCCGAGAAGGCAGAGTCCTGCCTGCCCATGGTCCATCTGCACAGGACCTTCCTCTGGCTTTGTCCTCTTCACAGGCACATTTTGAGCTTTTGACGGTATTTTCCCCAGTTTGAGCTGAAGATATTCCAGAGACTGAATCAGAAAACAAGGTCCTAATCTGTGTGCCAGAGAAACCAGGAAAATGTTCCCTCTTCTGGCAGAGTGTAGAAAGGCAGCCACTGTCCTGGGCAGGACATGTGCTAGGGACAGGCATGTGCTAGTTTGAAAGACACGCCCAGCTCAGTGGTTGTCATTCTGCCTGAGAAAATGCCTCCAACCTCTTAGTCCCAAGAGGTAGGAGGGGCTGTCTCTGCTCCTGGACAGGGTGAGCCCCACTGCAATGATCCTGTCCTTGGAGGAAGGGGGACTTGGGCATGTCCTTCAGTAGCCAGGGAGGGGACTGGCACTTCTCCTTCTCCACATAAACTGAGCTGATGACTCTGTGAGGTTTCTAAATTCGAGCAGGAATGTGAGTTTCTGGATCTGGTTTCCATGAGCACAGGGAGTGAAAGACGCACACCTCCACTCCCAGGATTAGAAAGAAGCAACAATTTAATGTTATACTCAAATGCAGCATTTACCATTGACAACAAAACATGGCCCCTCCAAATAGGGAGATAGGTGCTGGGGGAAAGGGGGGAAGGAGAAGAGGGGTTGGTGCCTTCCATCGTGGCCTCCAGGGGACCCCAGGAAACGGATCACAAAGTTCTCATCAGAATCTGAGGAGATGACCCTGTGCACCCTGAGTGTCCCCACTGTGTCCCCATTGTAGCTCAGCTGGTCTCAGGAGGGTCATGGACCACCACCACTGGGCCCTTGGTTGGGGGTCTGGTGACTGGAGAAAGAGAGGCATTTCCTGAGGGGCCTGCCCTGGAACCACAGCACACACCCCCTCCCTGCCCCCACTGTGCTCTGTGCTCCAGCCCTGTGCTGAGTGGTCAGACAGCCAACAGGACCCCATCTGTCCCTGACACAGGGGCTGATATTTAACATCACCCATTTCACAGAGGAGGAAACCAGTCCAAGAAACATGAGTGCAATTGCCCAGGACAGGACTGCTCAGCAGTGGAGTTGGGACCCAGGGCCAGCTGTCTGCCTCCCCAGGCCCATGCTCAGCCTGAATGTTTCCTGAGCCTGTGGATTCAGCCACTACCGGTGCAGACACACACTCTTGCCTGAGCTGTTCTTCTTGTCTTTGAAGAAGAGTCGAATCTTTCTGGCCCAGTGGTATCTGGGCTCCAGCTGGCAGGACAGGCTGTAGCTACAGGACAGAGTAGAGCTGGAAGCTCTCAGGAGCCACACATCACATGTGCATCCTGGAACCTGCCAACAGCTGGAGTCCAAGGGTCCCAGGGTTCGCCATGCAACCAGATCTGGGGCTGACCAGGGAGCCAGGGCCATGGGCTCTGGAGTTGGTCAGCAGAGAGAGTCTGCCCTGCCCTCTCCCAACTCCTGACCTCCCTCATCTCTCCTCCTCACTCAGGGGCTCCATGGCCTGGAACCAGGCTCCAAAGTGCTTGTCAGGCTGCACGGTGTACAGATTTGCAGCCTCCTGGAGCAGCTCGATCTCCTCCATCAGTTTGAATTGCTAGGACAAAGCAAGCACAGGATGCACACGGGACCTGAGTCGGGGACCCTGCAGGGCTCTTGGAGGGGATGACGAGGGGGACAAAGAGCCAGTCTGGGGCCTTTGCCCACTTGGGAACCCTGCCTCCCTGCAATTCCAGTCAGAACTTGCCTGCTCTCACACTTGGCCTGAAATAGCTCCTCATCCAGGAAGGTGTCTTTGATGCCAGCCCTATCCCCACCCACCAATGCCATAGGATTCCCAGCTCTGTATATCAAAGTCTACAAATAAATGTCTGACCCTGGGGATTGGGCCAGAGGGTGTCCTGCCCACGGGGTGTGTTTCTGATTTACACACCCCCAGCCTCCCCACTGTGAGGCTGCAGCTGCTTACCTCATTCCATTTCTGACAGTTCAGCACATCCCCTGGAAAGCAGACAGCCACAGTCCATCAGAAACAGCCCCCTTACACCAGCACTAGCCCCTGTCCACACCTCTTCCAATGTTGCACTGCTGCCAGTGGGCAGGCCCTTCCAGAGACAGGACTTGGACCTGGGCCAGTCTCTGGGCTCCAGAGCAGGGGCACAGAGCAACTGAGGCAAGAGACCTTGTAACCCAACCCTCTCTGATGAGACATGGGGAGACTGAGGCCTCAGGCAGGAAGGGACAGCTTAGCCACTGATGTGCTTCCTGACTGGGAGGGGCCCAACTTCTCTTCCCTAATTGGCAGAGCCAGAGGGAGAGGCTGAGTCCAGTTCAGACACCACCTCCTGCGGCCACGCAGTCAGGCAGCTCTGAGCCTCAGCAGCCCAGGGAGCCTGGACGGTGGCTTCTGCAGAGCCTGCATCACTCACTGGGGAGATGGGCCTGATGCCCTGACTCCCACACAAGGTTGGGAGGACCTTTGCCAAATGCTGAGAGCTCAGGGCTCAGGGAAGGACTCTCTACTCCCAACCCTCAGGAGACTGAGCCCCCGGACCCACCTCCAGGCTCACTCATCTCCACATAATCCTGCATCATAGCGTCCAGCAGCTCCAGGGAACTGAAGAATGTCACCAGGGAGGGGACGACACCCTGTGCAGCCATCGGGGTGGGCATGGTGATGAGCTCCAGCTCTCAGGTGCCCCCATGAACCCTCCTCTGAAACCCCACACCCCAGCCCCCTGCCCACCCCACACTCCCACACAGAGCAGCCTAGGATCCTCGGGACACCCCAACACACATGATTCCCTCCTCCCCTCCAGGAGCACCAAACTCCACCAGTCTAGTCCCAGGGCTGGCTGTTGGCCCATCCCAGGGGGTGTGGTCCCTGCCCCTCCCCACCCCAAATCTGTCCTGTTGCCAGTGCTTCCAGGCCTCCTCCTGCTCACTGCTATTGCAGGCAGATCATGCTCCGTGGCCACAGCAGATGCACTGGAGGAGGAAGACTCCTCTCCTGAGGGAGGTCTCCAGCTGGATGGGGAGCCCCCTCTCCTCTGACTCCTGGGACCCTCCCCCACAGGCACCCTCACCTACTGCCCCTGCCTCTCCTGGACTCCCTGGCGGGCCCTCTCTGCAGTCACTAACATGGAGGTCGCCTCCTGTTGGGGCCGAGGACATGGTCAGTGTGCCCATACTCCCCTCCACATGTCCCCCAAGGCCCCTGACCTCAGACCTTGGCCATCGGCTCCAGTGCCCTGCTGCCTCTGCTGCTCCCTCCTCCAGGGTTCTCTGATTCTAGACCAGTTCCGGCTCCAGGACTCACTCCTGTGTGACCTTGGGCCTGCCCAGGCCTCCCTGGACATCTTTCCTCATCTGAAAAGTGTGAGGAGAATGTCACCTGCTTCCAGGAGTCTCCTGAGGACTCAGGGTCATCTGTGTGTCATCTCTGCTCTCCCCTCACCTCTTAAGGAGGAACCAGCACAAATCTCCTCATATTCCTGTCCTCCCTTGGACAGTATCACCCCGCTGGGAGGCCCACACCACTGATCATTTCCCTCCACTTCCCAGAGGAGGAGACCCAGGCCCCCAGAGGGGCAGTGACTGGCTCAAGGACCCACTGAGGAGAGGCTGCCTCCCATCCCAGCCAGAGGCCCTGTCCCTGCTGCCTTCACCCCACCCCCGACTCCAAATCTGATGAAGACCCCGACCTCTGGACTCCCAGGGTTTGTCCAGACCCCAGCTGAACAGACAGGGAGGGAGAGGCCAGGGTGTCTTGAAGGGCCTGGCCGAGTGGCTCCAGCCTGCCCCACCCTCACAGGGCTCTCTGACCTCCAGCCTGGGTGGAGCCTTGCCATAGCCTCACCTCCTAGGATCCCCTCGGGATGTTCCCCTCCCCTCTCCTTCTGGCCTCCTTCCAGATCTCCAGCCTCCAGGTTACCTGCAGGAGCAGCTCCCTGCTCATGCGCTTCTCTGCACCACTTCTTCCAGGTTCGAGAACTCTCCTTGTGGGTTTGGGAAAGAAAGAAAGAAAGAAAGAAAAACTGTGGGATGGTTGAAGGGTAATCCATTTTATTTGAGAACCCAGCAGATCCAAACTGCCTGGGGCCTGGATGAGGAATTCACTGGGGAGCTCTGAGCTCTAAGGTCCCATTGGGACTGTGGAGGGGCCTCTCCTCTTGTCCCCTGAGGCCTGCATTCCCATATGTCCCAAACAGATCTCTTTGGAACAGTGCTGGTTTCAGCTGCATAGAGACTTCTGTTTCTGCAAAGGAAACACTTGAAAATCTCCACCTGGGCTCAAGCCAGGATGTGGTCTTGAAGGAAATGAATCTTTGGGGCAGAACTGATGGCCTAAGGGCCCTGAGAGACTCAGAGACCCAGCACCCAGGTCAGTCCCTGTGCCCGGTGTTCGCTGGCTCCCAGGTGGTCTCAGCTGAGTTTGGGGGACATGCCAGCCCAAAGCAGGCTGCCTGGTCCACCTCGCCCTCATGGTGCCTGGCTAGACAGCAGCCTAGCCACCTGGAAACTTGCCCCCCAGGTCTCTTGGAGATGGGTAATGGCAGGGCTCTGCAGGGCAGAAAGGATGGTGTGGAGGGAAGAGAAGTTTCCCAGGTCTCGGCACTCCTGGGAAAGGGAAGAGATAGAGCCATGAGGGGGAGCTGGAGCTCTGCTGCCTCTGGCTTCTGTCCCCTCACAGACTTCTCCTGTCCTGGAGGAGACAGATGCCCAGGGAAGCCAGGGCAGACACATGTGGCACCCGATGAGTAACACTGCCAGGCACAAGGATTTGCAACTCAACACAAGGAAGGAAGTGAGCTTGTCCACACTGGGACCTCAACTCAAAGTCAGTGTGGCCCTTGGAGGAGAGCCAAGGGACAGTCCAGGGACTCAGACCCCAGGCTTCAATCCTGAGAGCTGAGAAACAAGAGGCAATTCCCACGCCTCCAGACATGGCCTTCCATGACTTACCTCAGCCACCCAGACCCAGAGCTCCACCACCCTGGCCCTATCCTGCGCTGTCATGCTCGGGTCCCCAAGGCAAGTGACGAGGATGCAATTGGCCACAGTGTTGTCATGCATCACAGTGTCACGGATGGTGGGTGCTAGGTACTTGAGTTCCCTGTTGTCGCACTCACACCAGATGGAGCCAAGGCAGTGGGCGGGCACCAACGTCTTGAACAGCTCTTGCAGAAGATGCGGAGTGTCACCCGGTCCTGCCGCACCCCAGCTTGGCGTCCACAGTCCCCCATAGGCCCAGGCAGGGTGAGATCAGAGCTGGAGCTCAGGAAGCAGAGCATGTGGCTTGAGGCTTATGGGAGTCCCTGGGTTTGGCTGTGTCCACTGAATGCACCCAGTCCAGGATGACCCCAGACACAGTACTATGGGGAAGGGAGGGGACATTTGCTCCCAGCCTTGTCTCACTTTCTCTAAGCTCCAGAACGCAGCCCACACATGCCCACCAGAAGGGCCATCATCCACCCATCTCAGCCCCCTCGGGTCCCACTCCCCATTCCCATGCACATTCCCCCGAGGCAGGGACAACCAGCAGCTTTGTTAGACTGTCTCTGCTGGAGTCAATGCACATCACCTGCCTGATAAGTGCTGAGGTTGTCCGGGCCACCTGCGCAGATGGGGGATCCACCCAAGGACCTGGCAGCATCTCACTGAGTTCCCATCCCCCACCAAAGGGCAAGACTCTGCCCACCTTCCACTCTCTCCCACCTCATTCATCGGCACAGCCACCCTGTGCAGCAGGTGCTCTGAGTGCCCATCTCTACTTTCCCCTGTTCGCTAGGGGACAGCGAAGGCTTGGGGGGAAAGAAAGCTGCCAAGGTCACATTGTTGGTAAGGGAGGGAGCAGGGATTTGGACCCAGATCATCGGAATCGTGAGCAGGGAATGGCAGGTATGGGGTGGCTCGTGGCACCAGGAAGGCAGGGACCACCCGCCCTGTGAGCCCCGCTGCTCACTGCAGCCATACTTGTCAGCTTCTCTGCCACAAGCTGAGGAAGGTGGTCCAAGAGGTTCGGCTTCTCTTCCCACAGCTGGTCCTTGGTGGTCATGGCCCAGGGGAAGGTGGGCTCTGGGGCTGGATCTGGTGGGCTTGTGACTGGTGCAGATGGAACTGGAAGTCTCAGTAGAGCACAGCGTCCAGTGGGCTCCAGTGCAGGAGCTGGTGCTGGGGCTGCCTTTAATGGTGGCCCTTACTCTCGTCCTTGAGCAGCCAATTCAGGGGATGCTGGCTCCAGCTCTACCAGGGGTGGCGAGACTGGAGATGCAGCTGGCTCTAGCCCGGGGATTGGCACTGGCTCTGGCTCTGGAAGTGACAGGAGCTTTGGAGCTGGCTCTGGAGCAGGATAAAGAGTAAGTTTCACCCACACACTTGACAGTTCCTGTGCCTTTCCCAAAACAGGAAAGACTCCACTGCCTTTAAGAGAACTCCAGCCCATGAACCTCAGCACAGGCAGTTTTCCCAGAAAGCAGTCCCCTCACCTTTCTGTTCGACCTCAATGGCCTTGAGATGCTCCAGGTGGTCTGGTAGAAGGCAAGCATGGCCCTCCAGGTCTGAGCCACCAAATATGATGTGAACAGTGGCCAGCTTCACTGTCAAACAGGGAAACTGCAGGGGCTCCCTGCAATCCTGCCCTTGGTCCAGCCAGCTTCCCAACATCAAATAGATAGCACTGGGGGAAGGCAGATGTACCATAGGGTCAGAGGCCTGGCCTTTCCTTCCACATTGCTGTCCTAAGGCACTCTCATTTGGACTGGGACCCTTGTGCCTGCTCCATCCCTTCCAGGGGAAAGCCCCATCCCAGCCTTGAACCCTGCCTGGCTGTCCTGGCAGTGGCAGGCCTGCTCCCGCAGCAGGTTTAACACAGAGTCTGTGGCAGTCTCTTGTTCCCACTGATACTCTTCTCCCAAAGGGCCCAACGTCCACCCCAGCTCTCCATGCATGTGGGTTAATGGAATGAAGAGTCAGGCAGATTTGTGAGCAGCTTGCTCACGCACCATCTGCTCTGGACCTGATGGTGGTGGTCACAAGGGGTAGATTTGGAGAAAGGGTGGCCAAAGGAGCTGGGGCTCTGGTGGTGATGGGTCTCTAGGGGCAACTCAGCCCAGACTCCCTTCTGGTTCTCAGGGGGCCTGAGACCCATACAAAGCTCTCTTATACTCCTGTCCTCTTTGAGAAGAAGCCACCAGAACTTAACCCTCCCAGGGGAATCAAAATATAATTGAGACACAGTGTTCTTCCAGGCCTGGCAGAGCCACGGCCCCCATGTTCTTCCCCTACCCTCTCTGCTAGAGACAGGAAACCCTCCTTCTGGACCCATAGACCACTCACTTATTTAGGTGGGTCTGTGGTCCATCTCACTCACAATGGGGGAAGATGCCTCCAGATGCCCAAGAGCATATGAGGACGTCACACAGGATGTATGGTGGAAGGGACCTATTAATGATGTCAAGAGTGACTGTCTCTCTGACTAGAATTGAGGCCCAGACAGGGTGTCTGCTTCATTCACTGAGTTACGCTTAGTGTCTCCAGAAGTTTAATATGGAGTAGTTGCTTAATACACATTGTTGAGTGAACTACAACTGTAACCATTCCAGGTATCTGAGTGGTCCTGGGGCCCCTTTGATGCCTCAGAAATCCCTCATTGGCTACGTGAAGGGCAAGGACCAGGACCAGCTGGATGGAATCTCAAACTCCTTGACAGTGTGCTCTCCAGGTACTTTTCCAAACTCAGAAAGGCCACAAGTCAGTGATGAAAGAGGAAGAGTAAGTTTTATGGGAGACAGAGAAGTTAATCACCATGAGCAACCACAGCCTGTCCCACAGCCCTCTCTGTAAAGCCAGGCACCAGGAACCACTTGCCATGGCTGATTTCATTCATCCCTGGGAGAACTGTATGATGTTCATTGTCTCCCACCCCACTTCTCACAAGACCAAACTGAGGCTCAGAGAGATGTGCTGACATTCCCAAAACTTACAGCTGGCAATGGGCAGAGTCACCACAGTGCTGAGGATGAGGCAGGCACTCACTTAGTAAACAGCTGGTCCAGGACCTGGTGGAATGTGCTGAAGGCCGAGTAGTTGCACACAAAGTTGGTGATGTTGCAGATGATTCTACCCAGGAAGGCTGGGACCATGGACTCTGACAGCTTCTCTATCACAGCTACCTGGAGAGCATGCATCCTGCAGGCCTCGTTTGGATAAAAAGTGGACTCATCTTCAGGCTGACTGGGACCAGGAGGGACACACTGTCAGTGGCACCATCTCAGCGTCCTGGATTAGGAGACCCTTCTGTGCCCAGTCACCTCAGACCAGCCCTGGTCATTGTTGGTGGCCTGTTGCATCTGCCCTCTGTCCAGGGAGATGGGGAAACTGAAGCCATCTGCCATCTCTTTGGCCATCTCCTGTGTGCAGCTCTGCAAAGACATTGCCCCAGGGACAGGACAGAAGGTCTCGGGGGCCTGCCTAGACTTGGCTATGGGGAAACTCCCACCACAAATCAGGTACAGAGTGCCTCCCGTCACAAATCCATTGTGAAAGGAAACTTCATTCCCTATTTCCTGAGTCTAGTTTCCCCAAGAACACCAGGAGCCATTCCCTCTTCCTGTAATGCAGCATCAGCCCCTATTCCCACTGCCAGAAAATTAGCACCCAGTTTCAAGCACCACCAGATCCTGAAGTCAGTTCCTGCTGAGGCCTCCCATCCATTCTGTAATTCCATGGTAACTCCTGAGCTCACCTTTCCCCTGAGACCCAGCTCCCAGC